AGAAAAAAGTTGAAGAACCCCCAAAGGCAAAATACAATGAAGTAATTTAGCAGCCTGGGAGGAGGTTAAGGACATATAAATATCTTAAGACATTTTTAGGCACCTTACCTTTGCTAAATAACTTCTCTGAGCTTTGGTACTTTCAGCTGTCAAATGGGGAAAAATATCCACTTAAGATTATTATGAAAGTTAAATTATGTGTGTAAGGTGTTAGGATATAACGGGTAAACAAATATTTATCCTTTATCTCTTTTTTTCTAGGAGCTTAAGATCTAGTCAGGAAGATAAGCTGTAAACCCATGAAGAGGTAAAAAATTCCAAGAGTTAAGCCACAATTCACGCGCACTGAGGTCGCTGGAGCAGATGATCTCTGAAGTCCCTTCCAGCTCTAAACATCGATTATTGTGTGACAGCTATAGGAGAAGAATCATGGGGCAGTGCATGGTGAATTGGCAATTGAGAGGGTGCAGGCAGTAAGTGCTGGGAGGTTGAGAGGGGAGAGGCGGTCCTGGGCAGGAATGGTTTAGGAAGACCGTTAATTTTTTTTTTTTTTTTTTTGAGCCCAATTCAATTAGGAGAGTAACTGGCAAGCATCTGATTATACACATAATACAAATTCAGGTCAAGCTGAAGAGAATAAGAAACACCAAATACTGATGGGCGAGAGGAAAGGAAAAGGGAGCATCAGCAATTAGGTTTAGCAATTAGAAGCACACAAGAATATTAAGCGGCTCTGACGCTTTCATCCTCAAAACAGTCTTGTAAGGTAGGAAAGGACATTCGCCCTGCTGAGAACCTCCTTTGCGTGTAAGAATGTGTTGGAAATGTCTTTGGCAACAAATAATAGAAAATCTGGCCACCAGAAGCTGAAACACTCTTTTTTTCCCTTACATAGAAGGAACCAAATGGTGGGCAGCCCAGGGTGGCTGCGTCTGCATAAGGACACTGGTGAGACTGTCCTGCTGTCTCTAGCTGGGTTCTTTCTAGCTCTCTGCCTTACCATGGTCAGAATGATGCTATTTGCCCTCATTGCTTGTTGCCTGTGGCCATTTGATGGTGGCTGCACCTCTGGATATTATATTTGTATTCTAGACAGAAAAGAGATAGGAGCAAAGGAGCCAAGGAGCCAAGAGTGAGGGCGAAACAGCATATCCAACGTCTGAGCCTTTGGTTAGGAGAGCAGAAGCTCCCTGGGAAGACTGCGCAGTAAACTTTCTCTGGCAGTTTTCCGCTGGCCAAAATTTTGTCACACGGCTGCCCCTAGTGGGAGAAGGGGGAGCTGCGGGTGGGATTAATCAGCCAACCAAAGGCGGTGACAGAATTGTCGAGGCTTTGTAAAGATAATTATTATAGAAGATAAAAGCGGGGAGTTGCTGTCTTAATCAGAAATTTTCACCTTAGTTTTATTTTAAATTAAACTTTCAAAATTCTGAAATAATTGCAAATCCAAATGCAACTGTGAGAAATAATAGATGGCGGAAGGTGAAGCCAGATGGTGAAATGGAAACCTCCGGCAACGGTCCCTCCCCACAGACACCAAGTTTAACAGCTATCCCCACAAATGAGCACCTTTAGAAGAACCAAAAAATCAGGTGAGTAATCATACTACCTGGTTTTAACATTATGTCGAGGAACGAGGCACTGAAGAGGGCAGAAAAGACAGCCTGGCATCGGCTCCCTCAGCCTCTGGCCGCAGTGCACTGAGTGCGTGTGGGTTGGGGGGAGACAGGGAAGTGATTGGGGGAGGACACAGCACAGGGCAGAATCCTGCAGGTACCCACAGAGGGAGCATTTAGACCAGCCCGGCCACAGAGCATCCTCCGTCTGAAAACCCAGGCCTGGCTGGCCCTATTACTGTCTTACAAAAAGCAGGCTGGGACCTGGACCAAATTTGCAAGGCAATTGGGGTGCAAAAGATGCAGTCCTTGGGCAACTTCTGTAGCTGTGCTGGCTCAAAGCCAGTGGACTAGGGAGGCACATGACCCAGTGAGACACCAGTGGTGGAGAATAAGCCAGGGCCTGTGTTACCCCCAGAGTTACAGGCAGTGTGGCTCAGGGAGTCTTCTTCCATTTGGAGAAAGAAAATGGAAAAGTCAGAAGACTTTGTTTTGCAACTTGTATACCAGCTCAGCCACAGTAAAATAAAATACTGAGCAGACCCCTGAGTCCAGGCCTTCGTCCTGGATGGCATTTCTGGACCCATGCTGGGGCAGAAGGACGCACACTGCCCTTATGAGCAGGACTAGTCCTGGCAGGATCCATCATCTGCTGACATAAGAGCCCTTGGGCTTTAAACATCAGAGGTAGCCAGGCAGCAGGCATCACTGGCTTAGGGTGGGACTGGTGGCCATGAAGGAGTGCCTGAGTCATTTCTCTTCCAACTCCTGCAGCCCAATAAAGACAGTGAGACACTTTGGTCATTCAGGGTATTTTCCCATATTTCACCCAAGTCCACCCAGGTGGTACCACGCAGAGTCTGTAAGAGTCACAGCATTACTGGGCTTGGGGCAACCCCTGATATAGATCACAACACTCAATTCCTCCGATTATATGGAATGCTTTCTCAGGAGGGATCAGTTCAAAGGAGCCCAAACTGCAAAGATTAAAATAAATCCCTAAGTCTTTGATGCCCAGACATTGATGAACATCCACAAGCATGAAGAACATCCGGGAAAACATGACCTCACCAAGCAAACTAAGTGAAGGTGCCAGAGATCAGGCCCAGAGGAATGGAGAGGGCTGACTTTTCAGACAAAAATACAAAGTAGTTGTTCTGAAGAAGCTCAATGAACTTCAAGGCAACACAGAGAAGGAACGTAGAAGCCTATCAAAGAAATTAGCAAAGAGACTGAACTAAAACCAATTAATTCTTAATCTGGAGATAAAGAATTCAACTGATAAACTGAGAAATGCATGAGTCTCTCAGCAGCAGACTTGACCACACAGAAGAATTAGTGAGCTCGAAGACAGCAGTTTGAAAATACAAAGTCAAAAGAAAAGGGAATTAAAAAGAATGAAGCACTCCTACAAGATCTAAAAGAGTCTTCAGTGGCAAATCAAAGAGTTACTGGCCTTAAAAAGGAGGTGAAGAAAGAGATTGCAGTAGAAAGTTTATTGGAAGAAATAACAAGAGAACTTTCCAAACCTAGAGAAGTTATCATTACTCAGGTACAAGAAGGTCATAGAATACGAAGCAGATTTAACCCAAACAAGTTCCCAAAGGTTACAGGTAATAAAAAGTCCCAAGGGAAGTCAGGAAAAAAAAAAAAAA